TTTCATCCTTGTCGGACTGCTTGATCTCGTACACGGCCTCATCGAACTGGAAGAGGGAATCCACCGAGACCAGGTCGAGCACTTCGACCTTGCCCTGCAGAAGGTCCTGGACGTCCAGCTTGGCAGGCTGAGGCGGGGCGCTAGCAGGCTGGACCATGCCCCCTGCGAGCTCCTGCACCAGCGACTTGTACTGCTCATCCGCCGCCTTGAGACTGTCACGCGCCTCGGCTGCCTTGGCCTTCTGCCGAGAGACCTGCTCCTCCAGCTGACGCCCAGCTTCCGCTCCCAGTACTGCACCGAGGAGTGAGCCTTGGCCGCGCGCTGCTGGACAGGAACTGGAGCACAGCAACGGGTAAGACGGTCGAGCGCTGCCTTATGCTTGGCCACGCCCGCGGCGTCGCCCGACTTCTCGCACAGGGAGACTATGGTGCGGAGCTCGTCGGCCGTGAGGGTGCCCCCAGTAGCAGCACCGCCACCAGCAGCAGGAAGAGCAGGAGCAGGAGGCGGCGGGGGCGGCCGGCCTCCGCTGCCGTCGAAACCGAACCAGTTGGCCTCGCGGTCGTACTCCTCGCTGTGGGGAGCCCTGGGAGCATCGCAATGCTTGCACAGGAGCCACGAAGCCAAGTTCTTCTTGCATCCGCACGGCCCGCAGCGCCAGCGGCGGGAAGTCCACTCGCCCTGGAACTGCGTGGACGGGGAGCGGCCCTGCGCAGTCTGGCCGCCCACCCTGCGCCACACTGCCTGGGCAAGATGCTGGCGCCAAGGTGCGCGATCCTGGTTATGACTGAACCACCAGCCTCCTGCCTGCTGGCGAGCGCCATCCGTCCTGGCAATGGCGGTACGGAGAGAAAGCCGAAAGCCTTGGCTCGCACACGCAGTGTGCTGCCCAGAAGGTACGATCGGAAATTTAAGGGGGTACAGCGCTTGAGCCAAAATGGCTTGAGCCAAAATGACTAGAGACAAAATGGCTTGAGCCAAAATGGTTTGAGCCAAAATGGCTACGGAAGAAGAGGAGGAGGAGGAGGAGAAGGAGGAGGAGGAAGAGGAGGAGAACGAGGACGAGGAGGAGGAGGAGGAGAAGGAGAAGCGAGGACGACGAAGGAGAGGCGCTATGGGGCGCAGGCCCAGCTCGGGCCCAGCTCGGGTGGCGGCGCTTGCGCGGCGCCGGCGCAGGCTCCTCTTAGGTTGGTCCTCCTCCTCCTCCCCCTCCGCTCTCAAGGGCGCTCCCCCTTGTGATCGAGGCAGGCAAGGCAGGGCGCCCGATGTCGCGGAGCAGGTTCGGTTGGAGAGGTCGGTTTACCAGTCGGCGGCCTCGGCCATGATGGGAGCCAGTGGAAGGTGGGGGCACGCATCCTCCCGAGGCAGATGATGCACTGCTTGAGGTCGAGGGCTGCTGGCACTGGTTGGCCAAATATCTCTAGTCCAGGTGCCCGTTCTGCGGCCTTGCGAGCCCTTCTGGCGGCGTTCGCGAGTATCGTTTAACCGATCCCCATCCCCAGCGGCGTGGCATGGGCCCCACTGGCCGATCTACCCCCCTAGATGGGGATATGTAGGCCGTTCCGTTCGGGTTTCGAGGGGTGTATCCCCAACTGGGGTGGTAATCTGGTGGGGGTCTCGAAGGGGATGGGGATAGGGGATGGGGATCGGTTAAACGATGCCGAGCGTGTGCGGGAGTCTGCCGGCCCTCGGCGGTCTCCTCCGGAGCCGCAGTGGGCCGCTCGGTCATGGCCGCGGCGGCCGGCGAGGCCGGCTCTCATCCTCCAGCGGCCGCAGCACGGGGAAGGGGCAGCTCCCCCTCGGAAAGGGCGACCAGCGCGGGGCGCGGCGCGCCCCGCCCGGGCGCCCGCCGGAACTGGCTGCCGCGGTGCCCCCCTGGGCGTGGGCACTCTGGGCCTGCTGGTGCTCCACCCTGAGATCCTAGCGACTCCATTTTTTTTTTGAGCCGGGGCCGTGTTCGCCCTGTTTGGGGCCCCGGGGCCCTCACAGATCCATCCGGCTCGAAAAACGACGCAGAAAGATTGGGTCTCGGGGCTCCGGGCGCGGAGTTTCGCTATGTTGCAACTTTTGCGTTACGTCGGATCTCAGGGTAGGTCGCTGGTGAGCTCGGCGGCTGCGGGAGCAGCCCCGGGGGCGAGACTGGAGAGGCGGCGGGTCTGGATCCCGGCGGTGGGCGGCCAATCGGGGCTGCTGTCTTGGCGGTGGCGCTTGGGAGTCTTCGCGCCGTCGTTGCGTCCACCGCGCCACCGCCCAGGGGCGCAAGCTCTCCAGAAGTGCCGCCGGCGGTCTCGGAGTCCATAGCGTGGGGACGGTCCAGGCGAAAGCTGGGCAAACAGAAAAAAATCCGGCGTGTCGCGTGTGCAGAGCGTGGCGTCTGAGGTTACGAAGAAGTCCCCGGTGGACGTGAGCCCCTCCTGAACCCCTTCCGTAGAGGCAGAGACCATCGAATTGACGATCTCGTTAACCTCCTAGAAGTTATAGATACTAGTCGGCAGGAGGTCCAGCGCATCCTGACGAAGGCAAGTGGTTTTCTTTGGCTCGCGGGCCGATGTGGTATCCCTTCCGTGGTCGCACACGCAGATGTCGCACCTCCGCTGGCTCTACTGGTTGCCCCATCCCCAATCCCGAAAACTTTTCTTCCCAACCCTTGCCGTAGGTCACAAAAACGTTCTGGCTGCCGTCGGGAGCGGCCAAGAGAGGGGTGTCCAAGAGGGGGGGGGGGGGGGCCAATCATGACTGGCGGCATGTGCGCGGCACAGCGGGGGGGCCAGGGACGTAATGAAGCAAGAAGAGGCGCCATGAAATCTGGGGAAATCCGCCGACCCTGTCGGCGTGTGGAAGAGGCTTTTCCTTCTTCCCCACAGCGTCGTCGCCTCTTCTGCTTTCCGAGGGCCCCCTACACAAGTCCACACAAAAATTGAACAACGTCGTCCTTCAGTCGAAGGGAAGCCCATTCCCTTGATCCCTTCCCCGCCGGGGGGGGGGTCCCGGGGCAACTCCCGGGGGGGGGGGGTCCCCCCTCGACTCCGGGGGGGGGTCCCCCCTCGACTCCCGGGGGGTATCCCCCCTCGGATATGCAGCCCCCCGCCTCTCATCCTCCTGCGTCCTGGAGCTCCGTTAGCCCTCTGGGGCCGTCTGCGGGCCCTTTGATCCCTTCCCCGCCAGGGGGGTCGGGGGGGTCCCAGGGCAACTCCCGGAAGGGGGATCCCCCCTCGGATACGCAGCCCCCCGCCTCTCGTCCTCCTGCGTCCTGGGGCTCCATTGGCCCTCCGGGGCCGTCTGCGGGCACTTTCAGCATATCTTAAGGCTCCTTGGAGACGTTTCGCCATTTTTAGACTCTCTTGGCAGCCTCTGGCGGCACTCTTGACAGCCTCTGCAGGCCTTTTGGACCTTGCTTGACGCCGTCTTGGAACCCTCTCGGGCCACTTGAGGGCGCTCTTTGCCTATCCTGACAATCTCTGGAGCCGTTCCCGAACCCTGGAGGAGGCCTCTTGAGCTGTCTTCGGACAACCTTGCAGGCATCTGGCGCCGTCTTAGAGCCATCTGAGGGCATCTTGGACTCCTCTACCTCCATTGTCTTCGTCGTCACTGCCTACAGGGTCAGCGGCATCGGCCGTCAGGCCTTCGCAATATCATGGCCCCCGGCATGATATCCACCCCCCCTTGTCATCACCTCCCTCTTTGCCGCCCCCGATGCTGTGGCCCCCGCGGCTAAGCTGCCTGGCGCTGACGCTGGCGATGGAGCTGGCACTCCGGTTAGGGCTGTGGCACCCGTGCGAGCCCTGCCCGCTCCCACGGTTGAACAGAGGCCTCCCAGATGGGGTCCGAGTAGACTAGGTCGGAGGATAACGCCGCATCGCCGACACGGTGGGAGCATTGGATAAGGAACCCTTCGATAAGGTATCCAGGCTCTGGAGGCCGGTGGAACTCCAATCGAGGCTTGGCCATGGATATCACCGCCGCCCTCATCAGATAAGGAACCCAGGGTCTGAAGCCTCCTGGGCACGTTCCTTTACGAACGCCCCCACCGTACATCGGCGATGCATCGCCGATGTATCGGCGATGCATCGGCGACATCGGCGATGCATCGGCGACTCCAGCGTGGAGAAGATCGGGCTCCACACCGAGCCGCATCGGCGGTGCGGCGCGATCCGCCGCCCCCACCTACTCGGACCCCATCGAAGAGACCTAGTTTGAAGGAGCTGGAGGCTGCTGTGCTGACGATGGCGCTGACGTCGCCCACGGGCGATGGCCGCGCTCGTGGCTCTCTGCAGGGCGCGGGTGAGCTCGCGGCTGGTCCTGACGGGGCCGCGCCGCGGCTGCCGTCGGCAGCCGCACGGCGCAGCACCACGGCGGCCACGGTCGTTGGCGGGCGGGCGGCGACGAGGGCCGGGCAGCAAGCGGAGGGAAGGGGGACGGACCAGGAGAGGCAGCGGCAAGGAGCGGACGACGAGAGGGGAGGGAGGAGAAGGAGGGAGAGCGAGGGCGGGGCAAAGAGCGGCCGGAAAGGACACCGAGGGAGGCGAATGCAGGGGTGGGCAAGGGGGGAGAGCAAAGGGGGCCAAGACGGGAGACAGGAACAGCAAAGACGGGAGGACGACGTACGCACACACACACACACACAGACCACAAACCAAAACAAACCATATCATACAAAATCAACACAAAGCAAACCAACCAAATCCACATTGGTTGAAGCCACGGCCTCGCGCGCAGCGGCGAGGCGCAGAAAGTCAACAGAAGAGAACGAGCGGCGGACGCGCGCGGCCGTGACCTCAGAAGAAGGGGCAGGGATCCACCTGGATCAACCATGCCATCCGCCAGCCCAGGCGTGGGTAGCGAAGACGGGAGGAAAGGCGACAGCGAAAAGCTAGGCCGACAGGCCAGTACACCGGCACATGGACAAATAGACACACAAACAAGCAAGCAAACAAACAAACAAACAAAACGCCTGGCGCACAACGGCCCGTGGGGGGCGGAGGCAGGCGGGGGGGATGGGGAACCCGTCGATGGTGCGCAGCAGGGCGGCGTTGGAGCCGAGGCCTTCCTGTGCGCGGCGCGGAGACGGGGGCCAGGACGAGGATTGGCAACCAGACGTGAGCCAGACCCCCTGCAGGCCAGAGATCCGAGACACTGGCGGAGGCTCAGACGTTAAAGGATGAGCCTGCAGCGAGGCGAGCCCTAGGCCTAGGGGGCGTCCAGGGGTGGGGGCGTAGAACAGGGCGCCCATGGCTCAGGGCATGCGTGCGGACGAGGGGGAGCCAGGGAACGTGAAAGAAGAGAAGGAGGCCATGAGATATGGGAGAAATCATGTCCCTGGCCATCATATCCACGCACACACACACACTCTGAGATCCGGCGTTGCAAAAAAAGTGCAACATCGCAAAAAATCACACGCAGAGCCCCGGACCCCATCTTTCTGCGTCATTGTTGGAGCCAGATCGACATGTGAGGGTCCCGAAGCCCGAAATTGAACGAAAACGTCCGTTGTGAAAAAATTGCAACGCCAAAATCTCAGGGCACCTAATCTTCACCCCCCTCTAGGACGCCCCCAGAAAGCCGGACCCAGGCGCCCAACACCCCAGAGCCGATCGGAACCGCAGGGGCCAGGCCCTATCACTGGGCCGCCGCAGAACCCAGACAGCTGGCGCCTCGATCTTCGCGAAGCATGGGCCCCCAGACCTCCCGACCACTCACTCTCCTGGGGTTGTCCCCCTACAGGGGGATTTTGGACGAAAAATTTCAAAATTGTCCCGAAATTTTCCGAAAATGGTCAAAAAATATCCCAAAAATCCTCCCCAGACTATTTTCTAAACTATTTCTGGATATCCCCCCTGTCGAGGGACAGGCCCGACTTCACTCTGGTGCCAGCGTTTCCCTCCGGCCCGTTCTGTCGACGGCCCAGGGGCCCGAGACCAGCGCCCGAGGTCGGCGAACTGTGAAAGGCCAGCCGCCCCGATTTCCCTTCGAGCCGTCGGCTGCCTGGGACGGAAACTCCGAAGAATCCCAGGAGACCCGGGGCGCGCTCGCCGCGTTCGGGCGCGCCCGCCGGGGCGCGGCGCCCGCGCGAGGGGGGGGCGCGCCTCGAGGAGGCCCCAAAGAGGCCAAAATCCTTCAAAAACCAAGGACAAAAATCAATGTGTTTGGTTTTCTCGCCTTTTCGTTTCCGATGGCCATCCGAGGCCTCGAAAAGGCTCCAAGATGGCCCGAGAGGGGCCCAAGAGAGGCTCAAGAGAGCCCCAAAACGGCCCTAAGAGCGCCCCAAAACGCCCCAAGAGCGCCCCAAGAGGCGACTTTTTTGGACGCCCGAGGGGCAACGCAAATTAATGCTCCCCTCTTGTTTGATCGATGTCCTCCGAGATGGCCCCAAGAGCGCTCCCAAGGCTCCCAAAAGCGCCTTAAGAGGGCCCCAAGAGGCGCCCAGGAGGCCCGGGAGGCCCCAACAGGCGCCCAATAGGCCTCCAAGAGGCTCCCAAGAAACGCCCAAGAGGCTCCAAGAAGTTCTCCGAAGCACCCAAGACGCTCTAAGAGGCGTCCAGGACCGCCAAAAAGCCCTCAAGACGCTCCAAAAGACCTCCACTGGGGGACCCTTCCTCTTCGTGCTGCCCACTTCCCTGATCGAGGCAATTCTTCTGGGCATCGTTTCTGGATGGGCTGATGGGGTTACTTTTTTGGTCGGCGGGCGCGCGAAGACGAGCCGAACGCCGACCATGGGTATATGCGAAGCGTATGAAATGTAGAAAACCCGATGCCTCTCTGAGGGCCGTGGAAATGTGAAAAAACGTGCCCCGCGCACACGCGCCAGGCGCATGTTGGGTGCCCCCCCGCACACGCATTTTCACATGTAAAGAATCCGGCGCTACCAAGTTGGGCCCCCCTGGAGACCGTGGACACGTGAAAACACACGCCGCGCGCGCACGCGCCAGGCGCATGTTGGGCCCCCCTCCGCACACGCATTGGCACGCGTAAAAAGTCTGACGATTGCAAATTGGGTCGCCCCCTGGGGGCCGTGGACACGTTGAAACACGTGCCCCGCGCGCACGCGCTAAGCGCATGTTTGCCCCCCCCCCCCCCCCCCCCCGCGCACGCATTTTGAACGCGAAGAATCCGGCGCTGGGCCCCGCCCTGGGGGCCGCGCGAGACACATGAAAACACGTGCCCCGCGCGCGCTCACAAGGCGCGCGTTGGGCCCTCCCCCGCGCGCGCATTGTCAACGCGATAAATCCGCCGCCACCAAGGTGAGCCCTCCCCCCCAGGAGCCGTGGACACGTGAAAACACGTGCCCCGCGCGCACGCGCTGGGCGCGCGTTGGGCCCCCCTTCGACGCACGCATCGTCACGCATAAAGAATATGAAGCAACTGAATTGGATCGCCGCCTAGGGGCCGTGGACACGCGAAAGCACGCCCCCTGCGCGCGCGCGCCAGGCGCGCGTTGCCCCCCCACACACGCCCCCCGCGCACTCATTGCCAATGTAAAGAATCCAGCGCTACCAAAATGCCCCCCCCGGGAGGCTGCGGACGCCCCAAATCTCGCGCCCCCCGCGCGCGCCAGGCGCGCGTCGGGCCCCCCCCCCGCCGCGCGCGCACTTTCAACGAAAGAAGCCAACACCACCGAATGAGGCCCCCCCCGGGGCCGTGGACACGCGAAAACACGCAACCCGCGCGCTCGCGCCAGGCGCATGCCGGGCCCCCCCATCCGCGCGCGCCTCGTCACGCGCAAAAAATCCGACGCCACTAAATTGCGCCCCCCCCGGGGGCCGCGGGAACGCGAAAACGCGCGCCCCGCGCGCGCGCGCCAGGCCCGCGCTGGGCCCCCCCATCCGCGCGAGCATTGTCACGCGCAAAGAAGCCGACGCTACCAAGTTGCGCCCCCGCGGGGGCCGTGGACACGCGAAAACACGCGCCCTGCGCGCACGCGCCAGGCACGCGCCAACCCCCTCCCCTTCGCGCGCACATTGTCGCGCACAAAGAAACCGACGCCACCGGGTTGGGTCTCCCCCCCGGGGGTCGCGGGCACGCGAAAACACGCGCCCCGCGCGCAAGCGCCAGGCGCGCGTTAGGTCGCCCCCCCGCGCGCGCGTTCTCCACGCAAAAATTCCGACGCTGCCAAATTGGACCCCCCTCGGGGGCCGCGAACGCGCGAAAGCATACGCCCCGCGCGAACGAGCCAGGCGCACGTTGCCCCCCACCACCACCACCACCCCACACGCCCCTTCCGCGCAAGGATTGCCGCGCGCACAGGACCCGACGCCAGCGAGCTGGGCGCCCCCCCGCGCGTGGACACGCGAAAATACAAGCCCCGCGGGCGATCGCCAGGCGCATGTCGGGCCCCCCTCCGCGCGCGCAGTCGCGCGTTACAACTCCGACGCTTCCGCGTTCTTTTTCGGGGGGTCCAGGTGGCAAAACCCCCCGTTGGTTTTTCGTGGTTCAAGGGGGGGTCGTGAATCCACGCGCGCATCGAGCGGCAAGTCCAGGCGGCATATACCATCACTTCGGCGCGCGACGCCGCGATGCCTCAGAGCGCCGCAGGGGGGGCACCCCCTACTGCCTCACGAAGTACTCGGCGAGCGTCAGACTGATCATAGTAGCTCCGTTCAAGACCGCATGCAACCGTACACGAGGCGAACCGAGCGTCGCGCTGCGGTCGTTCAACCCTGCCGCCGCTCGCCCACCTTCCGTCAGAGCACGGTGAGCAGTCGGGCTCGGGAATGGAACGGCCGCCGCGTTCGGCCCCGCGGCGGCTGCTTCGCCTCGGGTTCGAGCCCGCCCCCTGCTCGAGATGGCGTCTACCCGCTCCGACGGGCGGCTGCATGCCCGGCCCTCACTCTCCGCCAAGTCTCAACCGCTGGCACCAGCTTCGCACTGGTCGCTGGCAGCTACCGGCCACTGCAGACAGCAGCCAAGTAGCCCTTCTTCTTGCGATCCACAGTCGTCGCTAGCTCCACGGCGCTCTCAGGCGGGAACATCCAGAACACCGCTACATCCACGGCGACCCCGGCCGGGGGCATCTGCGGCGCCGCAGCGTCAACCGCTTCACTCCGGCACCAGCTGCCGCGGGAGCGGAGGGCGCGCCACGGCTGATCTGGCTGGACGCGCTGCAATGCGCAGTCCGCGCCTCGCTGGTCGACGCTGAACTTCGGAGACCAAATCCCCCCGAAGCACCCTCCCTCGCTGACCCGGGAGTCCGCCGCGAGACAGGGCGCGGACCACCAGTGACCTCTGAGGCCACGCGCAACAACACCTTCACCAAGTCACAGGCCAAGTTGCAGAAGGCTGAGGCGGCCCCGCAAAAACATCGCGCCGCTGCGGGCAGCGCTCGCACGCCTCCGAGCCCCCGCAAGATAACAAGCATCACCATTGCTACGGAAAGGGAGCGCGGCGCGAGCTTGGACCCGAACGCCTGCTCGAGATCGACGCCGCGCCGGGGCCCCCGATCTCGCTGACCCCGACGGCGTGGAACTGCTTCGGGTGCACACGTCGCGGGGCTGGCTCTCTTCTGTCGCCGATCGTACCGGTCTCGCTCTCAGCCCGATTGCTAGCGACGCCGGCCCTGCCAGTCCCGCTGGGCGTGCCAGCTCTGCCGTTCTTGCCAGGCTCGCTGAGCCCAGCCCCCCGGCCCAGCCGACCCCGCGGCACTCTGTCGGCCGCGTCCCCGCGCGCAGCGGACGGATCGTCAGCGCCCGCTGCTTCTGCTCCTGAAGGCAGCGGTCGCGAGCGGCGCGCGCGGCCACCATCCGAATCCATCTCCATCAGCACCCCAACGGGATCCGCAGAGGAATTGATCCTCACGCCAGAAGCGGCCCAGGGGCCCCCCTCTCGGCCCGACGACGCCGGCCCAGCTCGGGGGCCTGGCGCTGCTCCAGGCGGCGAGGCCTGGCAAGGGGTTAGCGCCACTTCCGCTGGGCCCCCTCCAACAGCCTGGCCCGCGCGCTCACTCGGTCGGCCCCCGCAGCCCACGACGCACGGCGGCATCATTTTCTGACTGGCCAACCATTCCGCTAGTGATTCCGTCGCGTTCTTACTCTTGCCGGTTTCCGCCCCGGCCCTCGCCCCGCCACCCCATGCGGCCTCCCACGGAAGTCAACAAAGCCGGGCAATTCTGGCGGGAATTAGGGGATTGGCATGCTCTGCCATCCAGAGCCTTTACGGGCTCGAGGCAGGGCGCAGACCGCGTCCTCGTCACCGCTGAAATAAGCATGCACTCGGCTGGCTCGGTCGCATCCACACTCGACCACCCAATTAGGGAACGCAGGCCTCTCCCAGTGAAGCGTCTCAGGGTCCCGCCTGGTCAATCAGCCAGGGGGCGGAGCGGCGTCTTCCAGGCGCCAGCGGGCCACCAGCGCTGCTCGCATGTCCAGCAGAGGGTCGCATACCCAGCAGCAAAGGTAACCCGTCGACTTATCCCCGCCGAGGCCCATGTAACTAACACCTCCACCACTGCGCCCGATCGCTTCCGCTCATCTGAGCAAGATGGGCCAGGGCCTCCAGATGATACTTCAAGATCTCGGCGTCGCCCGTGGATTTCACGCGGCCCTGCACGTTCTGGACGGTGCTGCGCCCCCCGCGGGTCGCGTGCCCAACGATAGGGTTGTCTGGAAAGTGTCTCCCGAAGCTCTATACGGTCGTATCGCAGTCAGGCAACATGCGAATGCAGCCAGAGCAAATCCAGCCCCCGTGCTCCACCAACTCCCAAATGTTGTTCATGCACTTCTTGGGCGCGCAAGCCGCTGTCTGAGCGATCCGCTCATTGCAGCGTTTACCTACACCCTACTACCACATGTACTCACGCTGGGCGTGGACCGCCCATATGTTACTCTCTTGGCTGCGCTCCATCGCAATGACGGCGATCGCCTCCCCGTCCAGCCTCGCCGCGAACTTGACCCGGAGCGCGGGGTCTGCCATGCACCTACTGCACAGGACCTAAGTCACTCGATCAAGGCATCCGAATTGCTGGTTAGTCGACAAGAGCAATCCAACACATCTATCGATTAGCACCACGGAGCATCCGTCATTTGGCAGCCGCGGGAGAAAAACGCGTATGTCATTCTTCCTCGGCATGATCCGCTGCCCCTGGTCGGCTCTCCCATTTCGACAAGGGGAAACTGGCGGAACAGGCACCTGCCACTGCTCTTCGAGGACTTCCCTTGCCCAGCGCTACCAGGGCAGGTCAAGGTAGCCCAGGCCGAACTCGACGCCATGATGATCAAGGTTGCCGCAATACTGGAAAATCGAGAAGTCGAAGCCGATTTCTCTGGAAAAGCGTCGCGAAGATGGTTCGCACAATCCTTCTGAATCGCGCGGTCACGCTGGTCGACTCCGTGGACCTTGCGCAACACCTCCACTAAACGTTCAACGAGGAGACGCTGCGCGAGGTTGCGCATGGTTTCATCCCTCTGTTGTAACCGACGCGGCCTCCTATCGCCTTAGACTCCTTTCTTCCTCCTGTCAATGATCGCCGCCAAGGGGGGGCAACAAGTGGCCCTACCACAACACTAGGCGGTTCCTCAGCTATTCCCTCACGCCTCTCATGCCCGTGGACTTGAACAGGCTCAAACCATCGGTCCTGACGAATTCTGCAAGCGACTCCGTCTTCAGAATCCCGTCGAACCCCACCCCGTGGAGAGAGCTGAAACGCTGACCCTCGAAAGCTGGATGAAACGCTTGCTGCGCTGCCGTGGCGAGCGTTGCCTCCCCGACGTCGGCCTTGAGCTCGTACCTGATGCCCTCGTCCAGACCCTTCCACGCCTGCTCGTCCTCGATCCCGTACACCTTGAACAAGACGCGGGGCACTGGCATCATCTTGGTGCACGGCTGCCCTGGGCCCTCGCACTGCGTCGGAGCCAGGTCGCCGACCTAAAAGAAGCTGCCGGCATTCTGGCAGGAGCTTCGGGATCAGCTGTCTAACCAGGCATCTCGTGCCAGTCCAGATACTTGCTGCTTTCACAGCTTGGACTGCAATGGCACTGGGCTTGGCGAAATGGAGCTGCCTCGTCACCAGCGCAGGCGGGATGGTATCGACCAGCCGTACCCCATAGGCCCTCAGAGGCCGAGATGAAGTGAAGCCCCCTCCAGACCTGGGTTTCCTGGATCTGGGCAACGACGCATCGCTCGATCTGGTCGGGTTCGCAAACTGAGCAGACTGACAAGCTGGTGCCTGGTTCTTCGAGGTGATCATCCGAGAGGTAAGAAGGTCTCCTGCCCTATACACATGAAAAACTTTGGTCAACGCATGTGGACCGCAAAATATGCTTTGGAGGAGATGGCGGGAAGGGCAGATACAGATTTGGCTGGGAGTGCGTTATTTGGTGTTAGGGGTGGACGATCGGGCAGAAGAAGTACAATTAACAATACCCCGAGAGATACCGCTAAACCTGGCCCCGAGGAAAAGTCCAATCGAGTTCGTATCAGAGGCGAGCATCTCATATGGAGTGCGCAATATGATGCAAGCTATGTAAAGCAAGCTATGGGGTGTAAGCTGTAAGCTTTGTGGTGCAAGCTAACTTGCGCAAGCTATGTGGTGCAAGGTACATGTGCGTTGCAAGCTGTGTGATGCATTGGCTGGTGACTAGATGCGGTGTAGGAATATGTGGTGCGAGCTACGTCGTGCCAGCTGTGCGATGATACCATGTGGAGTGAGCCATGTGGTGTAAGATGTGTGGTTCGAGCTACGTGGTGCAAGCTATGCGGTGCCTATGGGTTTTCTAGCCCTGTCCATAAGGAGGTGTGCGTCCACGAGGCACCCACGACCTGCCACGGGCGGAAACGTGGCGAAACCTCGGCGCACCGATCCACCACACGAAGCGCCCACGAGGCGCACACGGGCGGCAACATGCGGCAACTTGGCGAAACCTCGGCACACCCATCAAACTCCTATGGCTACGCAGGTAAGAATCCCTACGTGCAGACAGGAAGAGGAGGAGGAGGAGGAGGAGGAGAGGAAGAGAGGGAGGAGGAGGAGAGGAGGAGCAGGAGCACAGGAGGAGGAAGTACAGGAAGCAAGGAAGAAAGGATGATCGGATAAGGAAAAGGAAGGTAGACGAGGGAGGGGACAATACGGACGGCCCCCGTAAAAGACGGCAGAAGGAAAAGGGGGAGAACAGGAGAACAGGGGGACAGGAAGGAGAAAGAGAAGGTAAAGGAGGAAGAGAAGGTGGAGGGCAGAAGGACGGGATGATAGGAAAGGAAAAGATGGATGGGGGGCAGGGGAGGATTCAATCTGGACGGCCCCAGTACAGAGACGACAGGAGGAGGAGGTGGCGGACGAGGTGGAGGAGAACGAGAGTAGGAGAGGAAGAAGGAGGAAAAGGAGGAGGGGGGAAGGAGGGATGATATGAGAGGAAGAGGAAGGAAGTCGGACGAGGGAGACATCTATCTGACGGCCATCTAAAATAAAATAAAACTACAGAAAAGAGAGAGGGGGAGGACGAGGAGAGGAAAGGAAGGAAGGGAGCGGAGGAGGAAGGGCAAAAGGGCGCTGTGGGGAGGAGGGGTTGGTGGCGCATGTGGTCGCCATGGCTGCGGTGTCCACTGATATTGGGAGTGAGGAGGAAAAAGTTGCCTTGCTTGCACCGATGAGAACCAGCGGTCCACCTCTGGACACCACTTCGATGGCCTTGCCGACCAGCCTTGGGTGCGGAGCTGATACAAACAGCGATACCTTGGGCTAAGGGGGGCGGGAGGATGGCAGAGGAAAGGGCAGATGAGGGCACTGGGAGGACGAGGGCACCCGGAGGGAAGAGAGGAAGCTTCCCCCACGAGCAGCGAGCAGGTGGCGGCGGGCTGCGCTGGGCAAAAAGGGCAGAGAGCCTCTGA